ATAGTAAATGACAATATAATTTATTAATTATTTAATAGTTTACCTGCACTTTGCATAGTAAGATTCACAGAATTTTTTTCATCAAAAGTAGAATTTAGTGGCACTTCGATCAAATTAATCGGTTCTGAATGATTTGATATATTATTTTGCGTTCTTAATTCGACCACTGTATTATTCACCTCTTCGGATACATTTGTTCCAGAAAATGGTGATTGCTGTCCCTCAAGCAATTCATCGTTTGAAATTTTATTTTTCCGTGGAAGTGTCGACTTCAACCTGTGTAAATTATATTTAAAGATTCAAATTAATTTTTTTAATATTTGTATTAACTTAAACAAATTCGAGATATGAAGATCCGAAAAATATATTTTGCATTACCAAGATGTAGATGATCGTCGATCATTTGCAAATCGATTATTATCTTGGCTGTGATTTTCTTTGTCATTAACTTCAATATTGTTACTATGTATTATATTTGTATCTGTCCTATCATTTGCGGTATCATTTGTCACGGATTCCACATTTTCTGTGAGAGATTGAACCGAAGAATTTGTCGCTAATTTCGGTCGTAATACTAAACGTTTTGCACTTGGCCGAGGTTGAAAAGCCTCGGTTATCACAGGATCCTCTTCTTCGAGACCATCAAACAAAGATTTCTGGAAAGGCATTTCGTAAAATAATAATTTAGTATTCCATTTAATAATGATTTAAAAGAAATACTTTATAACCACATTCCATATTTAAATATTTAAAAACTAACTTAATAAAAGAGGGTATTAAAAGAGGCGTTTTAGTCCTCAAATTACACCCGAATAAATCTTGAAAAATATTTGGGTCTTCAAAACATAGAAAATAACAATCGTTTTTTCGAATCAAAAATAACAAACCGAGAAGTAGTGGAAACATTGCTAAAATGCCTTAAATATAGTATAAAATGCCATTATTCTCATATACGGTTATTAATTGCAAAATCATAATTTTAGCCAGAAATGTAAGTACATTCTGTATGCAAAGATCTCGAATCACTTTAGCACTATCTAGGATGCATCACGTGGAGGTACAGTCCGTATAGAATATATCTCTTGGCAGAGATAAGGACTTCAGTTCGTCCTCCTGTGGCATTTATTGACCCTCTCTGCTCTGTGTGTGTGTGTGTGTGTGTGTGTGTGTGTGTGTGTGTGTGTGTGTGTGTGCGTGCGTGCATGCGTGCGCACGCGCGCGCGTGTAACGCAGATGAAGTGTGAATTTGCATTTCATTTACACTTTTATCATAACCTGATCGTACAATAATGATTTTTCCTCAAAATATCAAGAAACTGAGGGATCGAGATATTTTCTTAAAATCGAGCTTTACCGAAAAATTACTCTTAATAAAGCTCGATTTCAAAAAAATATTTCTGTGATCAATTTCTCGATAATTATTTTGAAGAAAAATCATTATCATCATCAGATTCTGGACGAAAGCAGATGAAATGTAAATTTGTTCCCATTTTATCTACATTATAAGCGCGTGCGCACGCACGCACACACGCACACGAAGTAGGGTTCAGTATCAATAAATACCACAGAAATGATGAACTGTGAAGTCATAATTTGTCACGGGACTCTCTGTATATTTACGCGGTGCATCCTGGATAGTGTTAAAATAATCCGCGATCTTTATATGCAGAATGTTCGTACATTTCTGACTAAAATTATTTTATGGTTTTCCAATTATTCATCGTAAATGTGAATAATACTATTTTTGCTATATTCTAGCAATGCCATCATTTCTTAGAAAAATGAATGTTTCCTGTTATTTGAGGATTTACCTAACAATTTTGATTTTTTTAGATCTATTCAGGTATAATGAAGGTCAAAATCGTTTTTTAACTCCCTCATTTACCTTAGATAGTTGTGTAGAATTGACAACTCTAGCTTTAATTTTCGGAGATTTATTATTCACAGTAACTTTATATTGTGGACTGTTCAATACTTTCGATGCTGGATTTGTAGGTTTTAAAAGTTCCTCAGTCTTTCCAGATGCCTATAAAGATGCACATTATAACCAAAAATTACAATACTTCTTTCAGGATAATTATTTAAAATCGACAAGGTACTTACTGGTAAAAGATTCTTCAATAATGGTGAATCACCGAATGGTGCAGAAACGAGAGCCAAAATTTGCTGATGTACTGGTACTGAACCGTTTGTTTTAGTTTGGTTTGCCACTCTAAGATAAATTTGTAATACTTATTCAATCTAATTATTAAATATCTAAATAACTAAACAAGCTTTTAATTGAGATAAATAAAATTAGAGATATTAATGAAAAAGAATAAAGGCCGTTCTATAATTATGTAAACATAAGAATGGGAGTAGTAGTATAGGAGTAATAATGAATATACAACAGACTAAAATCTAAGGCCCAATTTTTCATTATCTGGTTAACTTAGGGTCGTATTCATAGTCGTGATTCAACTGAGATTCGATTTGAGCTAGGTTTGAATCAGTCTTTTATTTGAAAAACGCTTTTCAAAGCATGATTTAATAAATCCGATTGGTTCAATCTTTAGTTCAAATCTAGCTCGCTTAAAATGAAGATCAATCGTGGATCGATCTACAACTATGAATACAGATCTTAATCAGTTAAGTCAAGCTATCAGTTGAATTAAGCTTAACCTGATGTTTCATCAAATGGGCTTCACCTATAACATCATCATAGATGAAGTTCATTGGATAAAACATCAAATTAAGCCTAACCAAAAATTACCAGAAAATGAAAAATCGGACTTAAAATAGAGATTAAAGATACGTAGTAACTTGATTATGACAATCAGTTTAAACTTTCATCTTCAAGATGAATATTTCTCAGAACAGTATTCTCTTCGTTTATATTCCATGATATATTATAATATAACCAAAAACAATACAATAAAAAGTTTGACATATGAGTTGTCATGTTATCGACAAAAAAATGCTGGTGACATGAACACGTGCATAACAGCACTCAGATTGGTTAACTTTTATACCTTACGCCATCGTAATTATAAAAGATGAAATTAAACTATTTTTCACAACAATTTTACAATTGATAATATTAGTTTACACAACTACACCTTATGACACTTTATAACTACTCACGATTACGTTCACGCAATTGTAAAACGGTCTTTAATAGAATTAAAGCATAAATATTGCATTACCCTCCGCTGAGCGAGCTCATTCCTGTTCCAGATATCATATTAGAGGTCGTTCCAAAAGTAGAAGAACCAAATGTTCCGGAAGTATTAAACGTTGTATTATTTCCAGCATTTCCAAACAAACTTCCTGATTTTTGTTGCCCAAATAATGAAGAACCACCGCTCAAATTTAAACCAGTACTCGTGCCTATACACATATACACATATGTACATATATTACATATACATTCGCACACATTCATATACAGGCTATAATAGAGCGACTATATCAGGTTCATTTTTCGAAAAATGCATATGTTCCAGATAAAAGATGTAGAAACGTATTAGATAGCAGTATGGCCTTGTGTGAATAGCGTTATTAAAGGGTGTTTTCCAGTAAGAGACACAGATGACACAGTGACAACGTTTACACTCTTTAGTCCTGTTGCTCATGTCCGAGCATGGTGACTTCTCTTATATGCCTGTGGTGCGCACGCTGGTCGTACAGTTCATATGGGATCTATGGTTTAATGTCAATTCTGAACGACGAAGTTTTTGTTTAGAGAAGTGTTTTTGGCAAGGATACTCTCGATGGGTCGCCACCTCCTTCCGAGAGGAGAACGAGTGTATGAAAATATTTTGATTTTACCGGGAATCGAACTCGGGATCTCTAGCATAGCAGACCAGTCCGCTGTCTACGAGTATTTTATCACACTCGCTCTCATACAACGTTTACACGGTATATCCTTAATCGAGTTTAATAATATTCGCTATTATGATACTGGCCAATCATAGCTATTCCTCTGAAGAATGGAATGACCATGATCCATATAAATGTAGTCAGTGTAATAGAATGAAGCAGTCTTGTTATTTGTTAAACAAAGATGACACGATCACTGTGTCATATTGTGTCGCTTGCTGGATAGCACCAAAAGTCACAAAAACTAATTTGAAAATTTGAAATAAATTCCTATTTTTTATTGTATATCTTTGTAACTGACTTCAAGAATTTTTCAAAGCGCTATAACAAAAATTAATTTTTCATTAATTACTTTCTGAGTTACAAAGCTCAAAAGTTACAGTATCACCGATTTTAACACTGTCCGACTTTAACAATCTTTTGTTCGACTTGACACAACCTTTTTAATGTTGTTAAGGATCTCTTTTTGATTTTTATTAAATTTTATTAAGGTCATGATAATATTATATAATGCCAAGATCATCAACATTGGAAGTTTGTTTCTCCTATTTTCATTATTACATTTTTCTTCTTCTTTTTTTTTTAAACTTCTATTTGGATTTCCAACCATTACAGTATCATACAAAGAAGGATCCAAGGATCCAGTGATAAACTCCTTGGAGAGGCTTCGCTTGTTCACAATTCTTATAGTATCGTATCAAAGTAAATATTCAAATAGGTCTTAAACCTTTTATATAATTCGCAACGGCCTTAGGGGGCCCGCACCCATTTTCCATAACAGTAATCGTAAGACGTACCGTTAGATTTAGCTAATCAGAGCTGAAAGTTTTTGGAAATTCTTGTCTGTGATTAACCAATTTTTCCGTTACGTCTTACGATTACTATTATGGAAAGTGTGTACGGGCCTCCTTAAACCTTCTAATTTAATTACATTAGATGGAGCAGTAAGAGCTGCCATACACAAAATTCCGCAACAATAACCGTAAGATGTAAACTTAAGCCGATGAGCCAATAAGGATATTGCTTTAGGTGTATGTAATCTAACGGAAATGGTAATAATGGTAAACTTATCTATAACCTCGCAATAAGGTGAATTTCAAACTCACCTTATGAATAAGTTTACTACTATTTTTATTTCCGTTAGAATACGTAGATAACAGTAACCTGATTGGCTCACTAACTTAAGTTCACGTCTTAAGGTTACTGCTACAGAAATTTTGTCTGCGGCAGCCCTAAGACCCGGTTGCATCAATATTACTTTGACTTTAAACAAGACTTAAAACTCTCCGTCTCGTTTTAAAGTGAAAAAGAAACAGAGACAGAGAGAATTTTAAGCCTCTCTTAAAATCAAAGTAACGTTGGTGCAATCGGGCCTAAGTCCGATTTACATAAGACGCAGAACACGGGTCGCAAGTCGCAAGACTAAAAATTAGAGATCATAGTTTTGAACATACATTGGATATACACATGTACAGGTTATACATTGCTTCTTAGTAAAGGCTGATTGTTCCACCTTTTGATAAATTTTATTTGTTAGGTAAATCTGGCAATCCGCGCATGTGATTAGTTAATTTTGCTACTTACCCAACAGATAAAATTTATCAAAAAGTGGAACAACTGAGTCTAAGTCGGGTTGCCTATCTGCCTGGGCAGGGGTATGCTTTATTGATAACACAAAATAAGATTAGATTGCAAATCCGGCAGAGAATGAAACAAGAGAAATTGAATTTTACATTCTGTATAGTGTAAAATTCAATAATATGATATTTAATAATACAAATAATATCTGATTTAATCTAACATAAATAAAATTTATTAAATATTTAAAAATATATAATTATAAATATTTATAATTATAAAACCAACATTTTTTTCTTAAAATGTCTATCTGTAATCTATATAATAAATATTTGCAGTAATCAACATTTGTTAATGCAATCTTGCACATAAAATAGTTTCTCTTACTTGATCATAAGGGGGGAAGGGGAGGAGTGATCTCTGAAAACGAGTTACTCAGTATTCTGTAATTCGTTATGCAGTCGTTACGTATTCATAACTACTATGTAAAATATCTGCCCAACTATCGTTATATAATGACATATTACAGAAAAAATGACGAATTACAGAATTCCGCTCTTGGTACCCTATTTTGTAACTCATTAAGATACAACATCATTGCGCAGATATTTTATAATATAAAAAGCGTTACAGTCTTAACGAGTTACAGAACAAGGTATCTGCTCAGGATGCTTTGCTCGCAGTATTGCGTAAACGAACGACAAATCGCTCTGTCATAGCCTTCGCAGATTGGATATCTTGCTGTTCATAATACCGCCAGCTATAATAGCCGAGATTGTATTACTAAAAATGAATTTATTAAAATATTAAAAAATGAAAAGGGTTAAGAACAACTTGTCAAACTCGATCCTACAAAAGTGAAAATAATGCAACGTAAGATATATAATGGAAAAGGTGTGAAGTTTGCTAATTTATATTTGCAATCAGATTAACCTAAAAATCACACCTTTTGGATGTAGATTGAAAATCACCAACCCATATAAGAGTATTAAATTTTTTATAAATAAATTTTATAATATTTTGGGGTTTATTTAATATTTTCGAATTTTTTATTTAGGTTCAATTTTACAACTCATAGTTAACTCTTAATCAAGATTCAACTTATTCCTCTCTTTCTAATGCTAGAATTGGAAAGAGATGAGAAATAAGTTGAACTTCGATTAAGAGTTAACCATGAGTTGTAAAACTGAGGCTCTATTTTTGAGCACATATGAATAATTTTCGCATATGAAAATGACAATTTCTGGATTGTGATCGATTGTATACGGAATTGCTATTTGCGATATTTGTTCAAGAATAAGGCCTCTGGATCTTAGTTTTCAATCAGCTCAGCTTTTCCAGATTTTCTATTGGAAGAAACGATCCAATACGATATGAGCAGCTATATTCATGCAGAAGTTCGTTTAGTAAATTTAGGTCATGTGACTAGCAGATGAGAAAGCAGTGGATTCGCTATCCACTGCATAAATAAATGCATTCTATTTCAAACTTGTTTGTGTTCATTATTTCGACAACGAATTATTTGTGGTTGTAATGTTTATAATTTATACATTAGCTCTTCCTTTTGATCCAAGAGGAACGCGCTTACAAAATTTTTTAAATACATTTATAGCTATATCACGCATATGCACAACACTAACGTTAATATATGTAAATTGAATCATGTATTAAAAAAAAAAAAGAATAATTACCAAGTCCACTTGAAGACGCAGGTGTAGTTCCGAATGAAAACCCTGATGTTTGTCCAGCCGGTTTAAAAGACGAGTTGAATAATGAAGACCCAGCATTAGTGCCAGAATTGAAACCTGTATTAGTTCCGAATGTAGAAGGCGCAGTTGCACCAAACGTAGATGTTGTTCCAAATCCTGTAGTAGTAGTTTTGTTACCAAATAATGGTGTGGTGGTATTTGTAGCCGGTTGACCAAAACCAGTAAAGGCGGTACTAGTCGACGTCGATGGAATATTAAAAGCAGACTTGTTCTGATTGAACAATCCAATGCTCTATAAACAAAGTATAAATATTATTTTGATTTTTACACATATATAACGTGTTTATTATATATTACCTGATTAGGTTGTGTGGAGCCAAATGTAGATCCAAATCCTGTATTTTGTCCAGTATTAATGCTACCAAAACCTGTTCCAGCAGTTTGGTTAGTACTGCTAGTGCCAAAAAGCGGCGTCGGGGCAGCTGCTATAAATAAAATTGTATACTTTATTAAAAATATATATTTTTACACATTTACTACTTTAGTAATACAATAATAGTAAATAATGAACAAAAAATCATGTAATATTTGAAGAAAACAGACAAAAGTTTGTTTATTCAAATATTATATGATTTTCTATAGTTTTTTCTTCCTCAACAATTGTAAAAATACATTTGTACGCGTGTGCATGGATAGATGTGTATGTTTCAATACTTTTTAAATTACTATATATATTTCAATATTAATTTTATAGGTTCCATTAATGTATAAAAATATAAGCACATATTAACATCTATGATTAATATATTAAAATATAAGATAATTAGAGAATATTTATACAGGCTAAAGCTCAAAATTTGAACATATAAAATGTACAATATAATTCTATGCGTAAAAAAAATAACTTCTTTCTTTGATAAAATATTTTCTAAATGAGAACAATTTATAAGTTACGTATAAATACTAATATGCCTTTATGTTATTTTATTATTTCTCTAAAATAAGGCTTCCAAAACTTGTATGAATCGTGATCCACTTTTTAAAATGGCAAACGTTATATATTGATTATTTGCATTACTTTATATTTATATAATTTTATCTATATCTCACTATTTCTTCTATTTGTAAATTTTTTATTTATAAAATTTTATAAATTATTTCTAAAATACATACATAATGAGGTATGTGTAGAAGAAAGCGTTTATTATTTGTATTGATGACAACTTTGACATCGATATAGACGCAAATCATTTTTAAAGAGTTTGATAACTGTAGCCGAGATTTCAAAATATATCATAATTGATAATTATCAATTGTATGGAAAATTGGGTCGGGGGAGTTAATTTTCACGTATAATGTAGTTTATAATTTGGTAAATAAAATGAACATGAACATTAGGCTAAATGTTAGTCAATAATAGATATTATTAGGTGTAAAAAGAGAAACACCTTAAGAATAGACTTCTTTTTAGAACTTAGACTTTTATAGTAACAATACGACCATTATTTCATGCACTGCTAATATGTAAATGCTATATCTTTTGTTCATCATATTATAAGCTATATTGAATAGATTTTCACATTTCCTTGTAAAAACTAGCTCATTTCAGCAAATTCAATTTTCCGTACAATTAAAATACTTTTCTAAATTGTTTCAAAATCGTAAAAGAATATTCCGTCCATAAATTGAGAATTTATATTTTAAAGACTTCATAGTGATATTTGAATCACTATTCGTGATATTTAAACATCGTTATTTTAGATATGATTTATAAGAGAAAATTTTTCAATTGATATCTCTTGCTCTACGAATAAGGATCTTCTTTTAAAAATTGCCGTTTATATGTTATCCAATTTATTTTCAGTTATTGTTTCACATAGAAAATTCTCTTATTAATAGCGATGTTTATATATTGGGTCGTCCGGAAAATACGCACGAACTTTCCGGACGACCCAATATATATATACGAGGGTCGTTCGAAAAGTCCGTGCAAAGTCATTGCTGATGGCACTACTGGCGCGTATCAAGGTTAGATTTAGTTAGTAGCATCTCTTGGAGGAACACACACCAAGTTACAGCCAGATCGGTCTATTTGTTTGTGTTTGGCATTCATTTGAATCGAGGAAGTCGAGGG